GGGAGGCAGCATTACCAGTCCGAGTGACTATTCTGGCGTTTCTAGGAGTACTGCCGGATCGCCTGGGGTGACTCCAGGATGGGATCCCGGAAACGTTGGCTTAAGTATGGACAAGCGTTCTAGTGGTGGGAGTCCAGGCTATATTGCGGGGGAGAGCTACTTTAGCAGTCGAACAAGACCTGGCCTGAATCGAGTCGACACTGGTTCAGCAAGCAGCATCATTGGAGCTCGACGTACATCAAAGGAATCATCACCTGCAGACACCAGATCACAGAAGGTTGCTTTGATATCAGAAGAAAGAGCCCAGGAACCTGAACATGCTGAGCAAACTCCCACGAAGGAGAAGCATGAAGTCGAAGATATTGGCTCCTCAACCAGTACTCCAAAGCCGGAACCTCGCCCACAACGGCCATCTCGCGATAGCTATTCAGAAACTCCTGAAGCTCGTGATGTCAGTCCTTCCCGACAGCATCAAGACACTGTTTTATCCCCACGACGACTCGCCATGCGCACAGCTTCCGGACATGGTGCCTCTAAGCCAGACCGACAACATACCCAACTTCATTCCTATGGAGCCGACTTTGGTGCCACGTTCCAGTCTCTACCTGCGACTGCTACTCCATCTAAGACGCCTGCCCCACCAAAGCTTCACTCACGTTCTGCGTCCTTGTCAGCACCAGCGTCAGACTATATGCCACCACCTTCCGACCGTGTCAAGGGCATCATGTTGGACTCCTTACCTATGCACATCTTCATCGCTTTGCCACCAACTGGTGAGATTGTATGGGTGAATAGTCGCTACCTGACTTACCGTGGCCAGAGTGTGAAAGACTTGCACGAGGATCCATGGGCCACTATTCATCTGGAAGAGAAAGACGAGTATTTGAAAGCCTGGAGTAATTCTATTCGTACCGGCGAGCAGTTCTCAATGCAGGTTCGCCTGAAGCGCTTCGATGGCACCTATCGTTGGTTCTATACTCGTGCTGTTGGTCTCAGAGATAGCAGAGGAGTCATTGTACAATGGTATGGTACGCACATGGACATTCATGACCAGCACATTGCCGAGGTCAAGGCTGCGAGACAAGAAGAAATCGAGGCATCTGAAGCAAAGCACAAGCAGCTTGCGAACCTCATTCCGCAAATCATCTTTTCTGCAACTGAGGATGAAGGCGTTACATTTGCGAATCAACAATGGCTCTCGTACACAGGACAAGCTTTCGACGATGCTCTCGGTCTTGGTTTCATGGACTACGTGCATCCTGAAGACTTAGCCAGATGCCATATTCCGTTCAACTCGCCACCGACTCCTTCAGCGCCAGGTCCCAAGAAACCTGTGGAACCGAGCCGTATGCCATCTCTAACATCTTTGGGCGGAAAGTCTTCAAACAAATCAGGTGCCTCCGAAGCTGTTACTGAAACTACTATCCGAGGTCGATACCAGTCGTTGTCGAGAACCAATAGTTCGGGCAGCGGTTCCGTTTATGAGTTCCCGTCTGCGGACCTCTCCGAGCTCACGAGAACAGGCGTAGTCAAGGTTGATACAGACAGCAATGGTCGTGTATCTTATAGCACTGAAGTACGATTGAGATCGAAGAGTGGCGAGTATCGATGGCATCTTGTGCGCTGCGTGGAGGTTGATAACATCAATCTTGGTAGTGGTGATGGTTCCTGGTTTGGTGCTTGCGCGGATATTAACGACCACAAGTTGCTGGAAATGAAGCTGAAGGAGGCGATGGAGTCGAAGAGCAAGTTCTTGAGTAACATGTCTCACGAAATCCGTACGCCACTGATCGGCATTTCGGGCATGATCAGCTTCCTTCAGGATACGCCTCTCAACGAGGAGCAAATCGACTACTGCAACACTATCTCGTCAAGTGCTGACGGTCTTCTCAATATCATCAACGATATCCTGGACTTGGCCAAGGCTGATGCTGGTATGATGAAGCTCTCCTACGATTGGTTCCACACCCGTTCCTTGGTGGAGGAGGTCAACGAGATGGTCTCAACCATTGCCATCACGAAGCATCTCGAAGTCAACTATGTTGTCGATCCTGACGTACCTGAGATGATCAAAGGTGATAGATTCCGTATCCGTCAAGTCTTGCTAAATGTCATTGGCAATGCCATCAAATTTACCACTGTGGGTGAGGTATTCAGTCGATGCAAGGTCTTCAAACCAAACGATGATGATCTTGGTGTGAATGAAGTTATGCTTCAATTTTCTATCATTGATACTGGACGAGGTTTCACTCAACAGGAAGCAGAGCTTATCTTCAAGCCTTTCAGCCAGATCGATGGTAGTAGTACTCGCACTCATGGGGGAACTGGTTTGGGACTTGTCATTTCACGACAATTCGTTGAGCTTCATGGCGGTACGATGGAAGGAACCGCGATCCCAGGAAAGGGTTCTACTTTCACTTTTACCGCCACATTCGGCCTTCCTACACCCGATGACCATCCCGACCCACCGTTGACACCTGCCTTAAGCAAAATTCCTTCAGCAGTGTCTTCCGTGAGGTCATCAATCTCTGAAGCTGGTCCTCGTCCGATAAAAGCGAGCATTGGATCCTCGTCGTTGGCATCGAAGATCTTTCAGTCGCCAAACGAGGAGAGTCCGCGCGCAGAATCCGTGAATACCGACTCGCCAGCGGTGTTGTCTTCAGGCAGTTCAGAGCCTTCGATTCGCTCAAGTAGAACACATACCACCGGACGATCCTCCAATTCTTCAATCGCAGGATCTCTTGCTCGTTTTGGTGAAGCAGCTCGCTCCAGCTCGGTGGACCCTACCAGTATGAAGCTGGCTCTTCCTGATCGCGTGTCTCCACCACCTGGATCACCTCCCCAATCGTTGTCTTCTGGAGCAACACCGACACCGCAAACATCCTTGGGTAGCGGAATGATGTCTCGTCAGAGCAGTACTCCTTCCGACGCCAAGCACTTTCGCCCTCCAATGTTCTCGATTCTGCTCATCTGCCCTCAAGAACACAGTCGTGAAGCAACTACTCAGCACATTGAGATGACCTTACCAAAGGATATCCCACATCAGATTACAGGATTGGCTAGTGTTGAAGAGGCCCGAGCGATGATTGGCGGAGAGGATCCGGTGATCTTCACTCACATCGTCTTGAACTTTGGTAATCCAGAAGATATCGTGGCTTTGATTGATCAGATTGTTTCCTCTATCTCATTGCCACAGACCTCAATTGTGGTTCTCTCGGATCCAGTTCAGCGACAAGAGGTGATGAAGTTGGCGACTGTCTACGACTACGATCAGCTTGCAAAGGACAATCGTGTCACTTTCATCTACAAGCCAGTCAAGCCATCAAGATTCGCGGTTATCTTTGATCCAGACAAGGAGCGCGATTTGAGTACCGACCGAAATCGTTTCAGTGCCCAACAGCAAGTGGCGAATCAACGACAGAACTACCTCGACATTGGCAAGCGTCTTGGGAACAAGGGTCATAAAGTGTTGCTGGTGGAGGACAATGCTACGAATCAGAAGGTTCTCCTTAAGTTCTTGAGCAAGGTTGGCATCAATGTTGATCTGGCTTTGGATGGTGTTGAATGCACCGATAAAGTCTTTGCTCAATCTCATTCCTTCTATTCCCTTATCTTGGTGAGCATGATCCTTCTATCCTTGAGGCTTCGCTGACAGATGCAGTGCGATCTCCACATGCCGAACAAGGACGGCTACCAGGCCTGTCGAGAGATCCGCCAATGGGAAAAGAAGGAAAAACTCCCTCGAATGCCAATCATCGCCCTATCAGCAAACGTCATGGCCGATGTCCTTGACAAATGCATCGAAGCTGGATTCAGCAACTATATCACCAAGCCAGTCGACTTTAAGGCTCTCAGCACCGTCATGGGAGATCTCCTTGATCCGATTGAGCCTGAGGAGGCGGGGAAGTTGATTACGAAGACTTGATTTTTTGACCAAGCATTTCTTTCTTGCGAAACATAGGGAAGGAGTGAATGGATTGCATACATGGCGTTGATGTTTGTAGTAGCGGCATGTTTTTATGGCGTTACACTTTGAGTTTTCCCCCTGTCATCGAAGCCTACGGGCCAGGTGCTTTGGGTGTACAATATGTATGACTGTATGGACCGTTTCTCTTCTTTTACTTTCAATTCTTTACAACATACCTTTTTCGACATCAAGACTCGGTTTATCTCGTGGCATGTCTTCGGGAAGCTGGAGAGGACGAGCTTCTTCGGTCGTGGAAAGGGTTTTATTTTCGGTGTTACTTTATGCATGGATGGGTGGGATGGATGAACGACTCGAAATGATAACTTGCGCGCGCTCAGTTAATATACGGAAGAAGCGGAGCGAGTGAGTGATGGATGCATAGCGTGGACTTCTTTTTTCTTTTATGGATGAATGGATGGTTGGTTGGATGGGTCTGGCGTTTTTAGCTGGATCTGGATACTGCCTTGCGAGGTTCTGGTATGGGGTGGGGGGGGGGGGGGAAGGGGGAGATACCTAATTGTATGAGTGAGCATTTGATGCAGATGAAGGGGAGATGAATAGAAGCTGCACTGCAGATCGAGAAAGGAAGTGGAAACTGTGTATGATAGATTGAGCACAGTTCATTGCTTGATCTCAATTTTGCTTGTCCCTTTCTCGTGGGTGATTGTACCTTTGACGTTTTGTGGTTTAAGAACCATTTTTCCGTGAAAAGACCCGGGTGTAGACCGCATAGCGACTTCATAGAGGAGCTTCAGAAAGGGAAATTGAAAGGCCGAAATAAAACCGTCCGCATTACGACATCATAGGACGGCTGGCCCAATGGCAGGGCGCTTGAGTTCGAGATCTAGAGGTGGGGAGAGAAGGAGCGTTCGGCTCGCTTCCTCTTCTCCTTCCCGAAGCTACTCGCTTATTTTCCCCACCCTGTTACTAGCGCGCAAACCGGCAAAAAAAGAAACCAAACACCTCTGGCTCCATCGAAGGTGATTAGAACTCGATGGGAATCAATGCCAAAAAAAACTGTGAACTATATAATTGAGCGACGCCGGGATCGAACCGACAATCTCTTGATAACTTTGACCGATTTTGATATTTTCAAATCAATCTCGAAGTCAAGCGCCTTGCCATTGGGCCAGCCGCCCCATTTGTTGAAAATTCTGCTTATTTAACTCTATACAGCTGATAATAACCGTGGGTGAATTTCGGAGACTTGCTTGCACTAATGCCGAAAGCAGGTGAGTGAACGTGACTTTGATGGAAGAATGACAGGGAGAAGTTGGATCGATAGACAGCAGCGTGCTTGGCGAGAAGAAATACGGAGTCACTCTTTCATCAAGGGATACTTGGGACTCTAATATATGGGGATGGTAGCAAACTTACGGGAATCCAAGGACAATGCACGTGCTATGCAAGGGGCCTATGATAGCTCTCCGCAATGTGGATCAAACGGCTCAAAAGCTTCACTTTCGACGACCACCTTTCTCCAACCATCCAAATATTCAGCCGCAGCCCCTTCCCTGCCCAACCTTCCGTCGGCTTCTCAAACAATTAAATTCTTCGATCCAACCTGACCAGAACAAGCACCACAGATTCCCAGAATGCTCAGGACATCGAACTTGTCTTTCAAAACTGTCTGGCAGCCAAAATACAAGCCGAGAGGCTACCAGCTTGACTTCCAATCAAGGTGTTAGAGGTTCGAGACCTGCCTCGTTATTTCACGTTAGCAGACACGCAAACGCAAGAGTCTCAGGTGTGGGCTCTCGAGGTTCAAATCCGGGTGGAATTTCGACCTCGTCTTGTTATGGGCCTCGCACATTCAGCTGCGACCTGTATGCTTGATCGCAAAAGATTATTTCGATCCGGCCTCACCTCAACACCTAGCTGCTGCCAGGTCGACATGGCAGGTTGGCGGGGGATGGCACGTGATGCTCTGATACAGGTCTTTTCCAGGCCTGACTGCTGATGTTCAATTAAATGTCACCCTCGTCAGTACAAGATAAGGAACAGAGCCACTTCAATTATCCTGACATATGGGGTATCCTTGAAGGTGTCCTTCGAACTGAGGTTCAAGTGGCCTTTAATGGAGATTGAGAGGTTCTCACTCAGCTGTCATATTCTTGAATTCAAGCTCTGATCATCAATGTCCGATGTGGAGAGTGGCTACTTGGAGAAAGATGAGGGGCCAAAAAAAAGGAAGGGGGTTTAAGCGAGACGCGGAAGTACGTACCAGAATTCTCGGACATTCAACACAGATTCCTTCCGAAATACAAGAGATTCCGAAACAAATCGAGCAATCTAGTGTTTTGTTACTAGATGCTACTCGGGTTCCCGCATTACAATCACGCTTAAATATTTCCAATGTCAGGAACATTGCAAACACGTGGTGTTAGTGTCGCGTATTTTGCACATCGAGACCATGTCCTGTCTTGACGTTTCAACGTTGAGAACCTCTGACGTTCTTAAATTTGCAGCATTCCTAATTTATGAATATGCGAGAATGTTATTATTTTAATGGAATTGTCTATGGTAGGATTATTTTTTCAAGTGGAATGATTCACCGAGCAAAAAGTGCCATGAAGCACTCCCTGAAGCCCCACAGACTTTTATATTCCGGATTCAGCTTCAAAGTAAATCAGCATTTCGAACATTTGTTTATTCAACAACCTTGCATTCTAGAAATATTTTGGTTTGGTAATACGAAAGTTCAACAAGTTGTTAGTTCAGCAATTTGCAAGTGCTAGCCTCTGCGGAGCGCGGGGTGCTGTGGACGTAATCCTTGAGAATCTAGCAAATGTTCGCTCGTTAAATCATGGTTCGCGCCTGATCAGCAGCTCAGCTATTCATTGTCTCGCTAATTAGACATCTCGCTGATTTTGTATTTGACTAGTTCACTACTTTAGGGGTCGAGTCTTGTCAGATTCAAGCAATATCACCTTCAAGCCAAATACAAACCTTCTCCCCAAACAATACACACCAGAATCGCAGCTTCTCAAGTATCCACCACATTAAGTTTCAATCACAGTAGCTCTCAAGCATGCCCTCTATCAAAGCTCACATCCAACACATCACTTGGTCATTGCATACAGTGCATGGCCTTCAGGGATAAGCGTCGTAGTACTCAATCATACTTCATAATTGCATGTTCAATTTGCAGCATTTCCAATGTTTGAAATAGTCAAGATAGAGCACCGATAAGAGCTTTATTTCAAGAACTCTTGAGAGAGAAGACTTTTATGCTATCGAATCACTTTCAACATACCTAGCCAAACTAGCGAGATCATCTTTAAGATATTCTCATGTCAGCAGTCAACCGGAGCATGTATTTTCAATCAGCATGCTTCTACGTGGTATTTACAATTTAGCCTACGTGCTCATCAGTCTTTCGGACTAAGGGGTGCCAAAATAATCGTATTGAGACTTCCGGACCAAGCTTCGTAACACGGCTACATATCTCCTTAAGTAAGAAACTCACTTGAATGTAATCAAGGATACCGACTATCTTGGCTGTTGATTGTCTATCTTCGAACTCGATTCTCCCGACATCAGGGTTCCGATAAAGCATTTGAGTAATTTAACATCCAAATACTTCAGCATTCAAGCCTCCAATACAACACTATCTCTGAATGTGCTTCAATTGTTGGGACATTTGAGGGTGATCTATGCCGTGCATCCAAGTAGAGCTTCCACATCATCTAGCACTTTTTATCTCAGGCAAACATCATCACAGTCTCTGATCTCAGCCTGGTCATATGCATCTATGTACTCCACACCATTTTGTAACTCCCCAAACACACCAACGCCTCGCCTTCCAATGCGCCAACAGATCTTTCTATTCTATTTTATCTGTGACTGCCATCTATCCATCCATCAACCCCTCTATCTACACTCCTCTTGTCCCTCAACTTTATCTAAATCTACAGCTGCTACCTCTATTCTATCCCAACGAAATTCCGACGAAATCAAGCAATCGTCTCAACCCTCAACTCCCCTTTCGTCTCCCCATCTAGTTGTATGAACCCACCTCCCTCAATCCTCTTCTTCCACTTCTTACTCTCATACCGCGCCAATATCATCGTCATCCTGAGTGCAGTCCCAGAACTCGATTCGTGTTCGGAGGATCTGGTCATTGGTGTGGAGGTCCAGCGGCCGAATGCCCAATTCAGTATATACTTCCCCGCTTTCGGAGACTCGCCAGAGTCCGAGCTTGAGGAAGAGGTAGAGGCGGAAGTGGGGTCTAAGGTGTCGGAGGGTATTGGGTCGGATGCAGGTATTGGTGTAGCAGAAGCGAGAACAGCTTTAATGCGATAAACTTCATCTTTTGGCGCGGACTTTAAAAGTTTGAGAAGGAAGGTAGTGTTGACTGTTGCGTTTTCCGACGAGTCGGGCGGGGAAGAGAGGGTAACAGACAGAACTTCGACTTCAGACTGATGTCCCTTCTCTTCATGTTTATGCCCGTTCCCATTAACATGATTGTGCCCGCAACGATCGTCGTGTTTGTGGTCGTGTTCCTCCTGACTCTCCCCAAGAGATCTCGCCAACCCGCCATCAACTCCAAATACAAGGTCTACCGGGACGCTTCCGCGGTCGCTTTTCACCCACGCCTGCTCCACCTCCATATCTCCAAGTCGATCAAGACATTCATCCATCCTCCTCTCCCCGGCCAATTCCCACTTATTAAACACGATAAGGTCCGTGTATCGAGCTTGGATTTTCGCTGTGTATGATGTGTCCTCGTATCCTTTCCAATTCTCAACATCAATCACCGTCACTACCCCATCTAACACATACCTCCCCCCCGTTTCTCTCGCTAGACGATTGACCTCCATAGCTAACGTAGCAGGGAAGGCGCTTCCACTCGTCTCAATGACAATCCTGTCCGGATTCTGCGCTTCTGCTAGTTCTGACAAAGCGGCAGACAAGCTGCCGACCAAATTACAACAGATGCAGCCATTTAAAAGTTCGCGGACGGAAGAGATGGAAGAGGAAGAGGCGAGTTGAGAGTCGATGGCTAGGTCTCCGAATTCGTTTTTTAGGAGGGCGAGTTTGTAGGTTGGGTTGAGGGCGCGGAGTTGGGGGAGAAGGGAGAGGAGGAGGGTTGTTTTTCCAGAACCGAGGAAGCCGGTTAAAATTGTGACGGGTATGGGTGATATTGAGCCCATTTTGGTGATGGCTTCGATGCTGGAAAGTGAGGAAGGGCAGAGGGAGGGAGTTGAAATGTTTGAACGCGGTGAGGTTGTGAGGTGATGTTTCGTTTTGGCGGGGTTTTGTTGAAGATTTTCATAATCGGAGCGATAAGCTTATCGGCTTATCGGAGGCTTATCGGAGAACGTGACAGCCATTTCGAGGAGGGGTATTCTTCGTGAAGACTTCACTTCTCTTCATCATGAAATGTCTTTTCCCCATCAAGGACATCGAAACATCAAACAATAGCTCCAGCGAAGCGCTTCACTCATTGCTTTCTGCACTTTTGTACTCATCACATGATTGTCTATTTCTCGGAGAGGTTCGGCGCGAAGCAGCCGCTCACCTAAGCTCGTGAGGCATTTTTTATTCTCAGGGGCTTTCCATTCGGAAAAGCCTCCCATCCAACCAACCCCTTTTCTTCTCATCCCTCCCTTTTGAAAATTAGGAGCCCTAGGAACGAGCCGTAAGCGTGTCGCTGGCTACAGCGTCTTTCGAAAATAGTTGGACAACGTCCTTTTTACGGATGCGTCATTGTAAGCAAGATCTCAATTGGATCTGAGCTGACAGGTACGCGAGGTAGGAAGAGGTGAGATGTGGGAGAGGGGCAGCGAATGAGGTTGTGCGATGGGATGTTTCAACACGGCAGTTGTGGTGGGAGGTGAAGGGCTGATGCTTATTTTGACTTGATGAGATGGTGTGCAGTGCGACTGGCAGTGTGACTCGGGATTAACTTATCTCTAGTATAGGAACAGATGCAGATGGGAGTGCGGGTGTGAGATCGGGATCGGAAGCGATGATGCTGTGCTTGTGAAATGTTTGAGCTGTCAAGAGCTGGCGAGACGGTTTTGGGTGGAAGAGGCAGGGCCACAGAAAAACGGTTTGTTGTCGATCGGGAGGTCTGGATTTCGTTGGTGTTGGAGGGTTGACTCGCTGCTGGAGTCATGACGAGGGGGACGAA